GGGGGGGAAGTGAACAGTACACTTACCATCACCAAATCCATTGTATCCGTCACCACCCCCAAAGCTTCCTCTGCTCCCACCACCGCCACCACCACCCCCATAGCCTCCTGGAACACAAAACAGATGAGAATATTTTCCTGAACACACGTGTTAAGTGTTTAAGCCAACCAACACAGGAAATTAAAAAAAGAATCATATTCTATATAAACATTCCAGTCATTTACCTCTTCCACCAAAGTTTCCTCCTCTGCCAAAGTTCCCTCCACCGCCTCCAAAGTTTCCACGACCCATGAAGTTGCCTGAGCCACCCCCACGACCTACAAAATATTTTACTTAAATTACATTAATTGAAATCCAGTTACATAAAATAACCATGCACAACTCCAAACTCACCTCTCTGAGAGCTAGCAGTCTGCATCTCTTGTTTTGAGAGAGCTTTTTTCACTTCGCAGTTATGTCCGTTTATAGTATGATATTTCTGAACTAGAGAAAGTAGTGAAATAGGAGTTAGAAAAATCAAGTAATTGAAATCAGTATGCTCTAACTCTCATAGGAAGCTACTGTTAAGGCACGACCACATTTTTTAAAGGAACATTAAATCTACCCCATCTCTTACGATAGGAAAGCAGTTGATTATACCAACATTTTACATTTCACACACTGCTGTTCTGAAATCGTTACACTTTTATCCTCTAAGTCATTTCTCAGTAAGCATAAGTTACATACCAACAATTTTATCAACTGTATCATGATCATCAAAAGTTACAAAAGCAAAGCCTCTCTTCTTTCCGCTTTGTCTGTCTTCCATGACTTCTATGGTTTCAATCTTGCCATATTTTTCGAAGTACTCCCTTAAATTATATTCTTCTGTATCTTCTTTAATTCCACCAACAAATATTTTCTTTACTGTGAGATGTGCCCCAGGCTTTACAGAATCCTATAATGCCAAAAATGCCAATCAGTGTTTTAAATTATTAGGTAAAGATTAGGAAATACGGTTAACTGAAATACTAACTTAACTTACCTCCCTCGAAACGGCTCTCTTTGGTTCAACCACGCGTCCATCAACCTTATGTGGTCGAGCACTCATGGCAGCATCCACCTCCTCCACACAAGAGTAAGTCACAAAGCCGAAGCCTCTGGAACGTTTTGTTTGAGGGTCTCTCATCACCTGCAAAAACACAGAGGGTACTCTGCATTTCTGTACTAGATTAAGTACCTATATTCTTTCAAATCATAAACTAATATTTGACACTTTACCACACAGTCCGTGAGCGTGCCCCATTTTTCAAAGTGTTCTCTCAAGCTATCATCTGTTGTTTCAAAGCTCAGACCTCCAATGAACAGCTTTCTCAACTGCTCTGGCTCTTTTGGCTCATGACCCTACAAAATCAAAAATCGAAAACTTATTCTGAGTACAAGCTACAGTTAAAATTTCACAGAATTACTAAAAATCATCTGTGCACATTCTAACAAATAGGTGGAATACATTTATGTAAAAACAATGACTTCTAATGGGTTTAGACAGCAGCATAGTAAACACTTAATGAGGTGTGATTTAGATTATAACACTAACTAACAACTTTAATAGTGCTCAAATGCAAACAACAGTAAAGAGATTTCAATATACTAAATAATTTGGTTGATCCTGACCCCCTAGAAGTGCATTCATTTTATGTCTATCTTATATTCAAGTTACATATTGCTCTGTAGGGATTAGCAGTGAAGCACTACTAGATAAAGGGAAGTTCAAATACAGCGTACAAGAGAAAAGGAGTTATCATCCAAACAGTGTCTAGTCTTTTGGGATATCCACTTTGAAAGGTTATTTTAATGCATTTTGAAGAAAATATCAATTCTTATTTACTTAAAATTGTAAATTTTGTACTTGGATAATTTTGTAAGTAGAATGCATGCAAGCAAGAAGATAGAAGTACATATGTGGTTTTCAGTGTTATGGGAAATACCTCTCAAATGTGAATCAACATAGACTTAGAGAAAAAAAATGTCTTGAATAATGACTAATCAATGACCAGTAGGCAGATACAACTACTGGAATAAGGCTGGTACCTTAACAAGCACCGTAAAACAAACGAGTTAATTGAAGCTCTTGACAGTATCACCTATGTATGACCAGCCACATTTTAAAATGTGCTATTTTCAGAGCCCAATTTTCTATAGCAAGATTGCAGTGGTCTAACAAAGTAGATTAGTGTTTCTGCTCTCTTTCAGTGTTGCACATTTTTTAGATAGGGAGTTTATGAAAAATTATTTTACAGCTTTCTCCCATCCCCAAGACAGAGAAGCCTTAAAAAAAGCAACCAGATTAAAATCTTATTTAGCAAGCTGATACCTTTGTGCACATAAACCACTCCACAACAAGGTCCTGGCCAGTTATGCTGCCAGCTAGCTATGCTGCATATGACTTCAGTTCTGCAGCACGAACATAAGAGGCTTCACTGTTTCTGCTGCAGTGGGTTAACCTAGACTAGATGAAGCATCAGCCTGAGAACTGAACTACATAAATCCAGCGACAGATTTCTGCATGTAGATGTCTTGCTTCAAACCTGAAGGTGAAGTGCTTTAATCTCCACCACAGTTCAAAAAAAGGTGGGGGTGGTGCTAGTGTTGGTCAGAAAAGTGTATATCCCTTTGAGTGCAACACAACCAACCTAAAGAGCAATGAATATTGTGAAGCAATACATGGCAAAAGAGAATTTCTGAATTATATACTGCTTTAGGAAATCTGTGGTTTATAATGTGCTGGTTCTACTAAAGGAAACAATGCCCAAAATTATGAAAAGCTGGCTGGATGCCCTTACACCTGCTAAACTTAGCAAGAAAGAGCCCAAACATTCTCAGTAACAACTTTCTATTTAAGGCACTAACATTGTTACTACAGGAACGTTATATAAATGATTGACAGTCAATGGTCCTGTGACTACAAAGCAAAGCTTTTCTACTATCTTCCAAGCGGTTTGGACAAAAGTATAATTCAAAATATCTCCCTTATAACTATACGCAAACTTAAAATCTTACAGGGTAACAAACATACTGTACAAAGAAACTGCTTCGGGTTAAGTCTGTTCCTAGTTGCATTTTTTTTTTCATCTACTGACAACTACTTCATTTTTAGCAGGGTTATGTTAAAGTGTTTCAAACTCTCCTACGCATATTAAAGGAAATCTATTATGAAGTATTACAAATTGTAGAGTTCAGACTCCTCCAAAATCAAAAACTTATATAAGAAAAACAGACCTTTTACAGTGCTCTGACACCCCTCAAGGCTACAGGGTTTTCAGCTGACAACTCAGACTGCTTTTACCTTAAAAGAATGACCACAGAACTCTTCAGGTCACTCCTGAAAGGAAAAGTGAAGTCCTCTTCTTACTTTTTATTTTGTGCACATGAACTGACATTCTCATAGGGGTGAAAAACACTTGCTGCAACAGCTTCTCTCTTCTATTGGAAAAAAAGTTATCCTCAGGACACACCTATGTTACAGAAACTCTCCACGGGAATAAAAGGCAACATCTTCTTAGGGTATTAGTTGTTTTTTTCATGTTATTTTGTTTTTACTGGGGTTAAGAATCTCTAGGGTTTTCAGAGTGTTGTCCTCTATCACACAAGATGTTGTTTCTCAGTCCTTCTGCTGCAAGCTAGTTGTAACAGCAGCTTCTCCTGGACAGCAAACCTTGCACAACACATCTCTCCCTTCCTCTAGTGTTAATTACCACACTGCTTCAACAAGATCGGCAGGCTCGCTCCCTCCCACTCAGCTGATACTGCAGGCCAGCACGCCATTTTGCAGCGCTCCTTCAGTCGGAGCGGAGGGGGGTGGTAGCGTTAAGAGTGCCCAGCCTGCCTGCAGCCAGCAAGAGGCTTTGTTTCTGCCCCTAAGCAGTTTAAAGGCCTTCCCAAACATATTAACAGACTCTGAGGTGGCGGAAAACTCCCTTTCCGGCCTCGACTAGTGACTTCCTCCCTCAAACCAACGCTCTACGCGGCGCCGACCGCCTCCATTTTGTGAGCGATCTCGTCTCCTCCACCCTCAATATGGAGCCGGGGGGCGGGGCCACGCGGGAGCGGGAAGGCGCGCGCGCAGC